GCAGGCACGCACGCACACACACACACACAAGCGCGCGCGGCCTTGATGACGAAAGGTGACACGACTCTGTTTGCTGACAAACTATAGAAACCTCAACTGGAAATTCACATGTAGATCGGCGTTGTATTTCTCCACAACATAGATTTTATTCTTTATTCCTGTAGAACACTGGCTACAGATCACTGATAGGTGAATATTTCTCTCTTTTTCTGATGTAGACTGTTTAAGTTTTCACAAATGGACTGACAGCTAGACATATCTAGTAACAATCAGTACATTAGCCCGTCATTTTGAACACCCACAATCAGATTGTCACCATTTTATGTGATCAAAAACAACCATTTATAATCACCTGGGCAAATCCTTATTTATATATTTCGAGAAGGCAGTTATTGTTCTTTTAACTGAAGAAAATACGCTTCATCTCTACTGATATTAACCACAATCTACAATGGTTTCTGTCATTTTATACTTTGGTTTTTTTTTTTTTTTTGGTCTCGAGATTCGATCCTAACCATGATGAAACTCATCATCATCATCAGGTGCCTTGTCGACTGGCGTGGGCGATCATGCCTCTCCATAATCTGCGATCTCCTGCAGCATGCATCAGTGAGTGTGCCGACACACCTCCGTGCCATGCAACAAGACTGTCAAGCATCTTCTCTCGTTGTCTTCCTCTATCTCTCCTTCCACAGATCTTTCCAGTGGTCACAACATGTTCTATTTTCCTCTTCTCATAACATGGCCGAAAAACGACGACTGTCTCCTTCTCATGTCTGTGATAAGCTGTCTTCGGGCTTCCGCCTCTTTCAAAACCTCTTGGTTGCTCTTTTTGGCTGTCCAAGGTATTCTAAGCATTCTTCTGTAAAACCACATCTCTGAGGCCTCTACCGATTGTCCAGTATTCACAACCATATGTTAAAACTGGATGTATGTAGCAAGCAAGAATTCTTTTTCGAACTCTCAATGACAAGGATCTATTGGACAAGATGTTTTTCATTTTATAAAATGCAGTTTTTGCCTGTCCTATTCTGTTTCTTATCTCAGTTATGCATCTTCCATCTGATGTTATCCATGTGCCCAGATACTTAAATTTCTGTACTTGTCCTAAAATAACACCATATATTGCGCCCACCAACCACAATTCTGGGCAGACCAATTAAAAATCTCATTATATATTCACTGTATATTGAAAACCCTGCGTGGGCTGCGTGGATTTTTATCGTGGTATGGGACGTCGCAGGTAGACCCAGCCTAAAATGGGTACCAGGATGGGTTGTCCTGGGAAAGTAAAGACAGCCGGCGTAATGCTGGCCACATTACCCACAGAGTGCTGATGGTCTGTAAAAATATGGGACGCTCTGCCCATATGCCCGATGCGCCGAAAGGCGTGAAAAGGGAACTTTACTTTACTTACTTTTCTTTATATTGAAAACAAATCAGGTGACAGTACACATCCTTGTCGTTCTCCCCTCTATATGCTTTGAATGTACCTAAACAGTTGTTAATTCTATAGCTGCTGTTTGCTGCCAATACATATTCTTTATTATTCGTAGATCTTTCCCATCATTGTTTAATTTTTCTAACAGTTTGATTACTTCTTAATGCTTCACACAGTCAAATGCCTTTGTATAGTCTATGAAGCATATGTACAAATCAGTCTTTACTTCTATAGCTCTTTCTGGCAATGTCCTTAGGATGTATATGGCTTTGTTTGTACCGTTTCCTTCTACAAATCCACATTGTTTATCGCTGATTTCTGGTTTAATTTTTTTCTTATTCGTCTCATAATTATTCTCAGTAAAATCTTAGTCGTGTGACTCTTAAGACTTATTGTGCGATGGTCTTCACATTTTATAGTGCCTGGTTTCTTAGGCAGAGCTATAAATATGGATTTTAATAGATCATTTGGAATATACCCACTATTTTAAATATCCTTTTAAAGTTTAGTTATTATTTCAATTCCAAAATCTCCCAGTGCTTCGATTTCTTCCAGTGAGATGTTTTCTGGCCCGGGTGCTTTTCCTTTCTTCATATGATGTATTGCATCCTCAACTTCTGCAGTCATTATTGGTGGACCATCGTTGTTGGTCTGCAGTTCTACATCTGGTCTATTATCATCATACAATTCCCCTATATACTCTGTCTATCTGTATATTACTATGTCCCATTAAAAAGTCACCTTCTTTTGATTTCAAACATCCAGTGTTGTTACGTGTCAACTTTCCTGTTAACATATTTATCTGTTGGTACATGGAATATGAGTCTTTCCTGTTGTTTTCTCCAATCTCTGTACACATTTGATTCATCCAGGCTTCTTTAGCCACTTTGCATTTGTTCACTTTTTCTTTTTGTATTCTAGAGTATTCTTCTTTATCATTCTTTTTCTTCCTTCTTGTATCCATCAACTGCAGAATTTCGGTTGACATCCATTTCTTTTTTGCAACTCTATAGGTTGGTGGGATTGTCTCTTTGGATGTCTGCTGAATTGACTCACGCAACATATCCCACTGTTCATCAATAGTCTGTATAATTTCCATTGCATTATACCGGTTTTGTACAGTGACATTGTACTGGTCCATAATTTCTTTATCCGTTCTAAGAATTCCTAAATTTAACTTGATGTTCTGTGGTGTTTTTCTAATGTTCTTTAGTTTTATTCTAATTTTTCCTACAACTGGAATATGGTCACTAAAGCAGTCTGCTCATGGTCTAGTTTTTGCTCCAACTAAGCTGCTCCGGAATCTTCTTGGAAACAAAATATAATCAATCTGATTGCGGACATTATCACCAGGACTTTTCCAAGTCCACAATCTTCGAGGATGGTGTTTAAACCAGGTGTTACCTATTATCATGCTGCGTGACTCAGCCCATGCTATTAATCTGTCACCTCTCACATTCTTTTCTCCTAGAACATAGCCACTCGTTATTCCGTAAACTTTTTCACTTCCTATTTTCGCGTTGAAATCTCTAAGTAGCATTGTTACTTCACAATTTCATTAGCTTCTTTCAAGCAATCGTTGTTAGTTAGCCGTCCAAGGTATTCGTAATATTCGTTTCAGAAACCACATTTCTCTTGCTTCCAAATTCTTCTTTATGTGTTCACTGACATTCCAAGATTCGTTGTCATACAGCAAAACATGTTCTGTGTAACATTTTAGGGCCCTCTTTCTGGCATTAAAATGTAGCGATTTATTGCATAAGATTGATCTTTATTAATCTTTTGATATTTACAATATTTTTTATTGTTAATGGCTTACTTCCTATGCGTGTGTTTTATTACCGACATGTACTCAAGTATTGTTCTTTGGTATGTTGTTTGCGTAAAATAACAGGACGTTTGTGCAACTGTTTTTCACTGAGATACTCCACGGCATTATTATGGTTTCAGAGATATAAAATAAAGAATGTCGTTGGCAGAACAAAAACAAAAGGAAATAAAACAAACACTGAGGTAACAACAGCGTTAAGTGTTATATAATCATGCATTAGAACCATTAAAAAAAAGATAAATTATAGTTGTTTAGCAAATCAACAGTAATATAGAACAGAAAAGTTGCGAATGAAGACAAGATAGAGGTGTATTTGGTTAAGCATACTGACGACAAATAAAAATGTCAAAATGTCATTAAAATATCATAAGACACATGCGAAAACTTATGATCGCTATTGTTTGCCTTAGACAAGACGGCTAAATACTTCAAAAATCTCATAGGGTGTCTATTATTTAAAATACCCTAGAATACAATCAAGAGCAAGAAAAGAAAGAGGACATCACACAGAAGACTCACAGCTATGACTGGCAAGCATGAACAAGCGTTTGTACACAGATTTATGCTGATCTGAAAAGGGTGCTGAGAATAGGAGATAGTAAGAGGTCAAGATAATATGACTTCGGACTCACTGACATATTGACTGAATGAAATGTGCAGCTTTATTGGTGATCTTTCTCGTTAGTCCTTTTATAAATTTTGAACAGCTGTTTCTCTATTTTTCTTTCTCTGTCTTTCAACACACACAAAACACACACACACGCACGCACCCACACACACACACGCACGCACACGCACACACACACACACACACACATATATATATATATATATATATATATATATATATATATATATATATATATATATGTATATATATAAATGACCCTAAGGTTCTATTTCATTATTTCAGAAACACATAACTTTCTGTTCAGAATTTAGTAATACGACAAGCATTCATAAATGATGGCTTTGAACTAAATAAATTACGGCTGAACAAACATGACACATACATGTGTGACCGTTTTCAAGTCTTGGCAATCTTTTGCTGGTATCAAAGTGATCTTTCTCGACAGTTCTTATATGAATTTTGACGATCTCTCTCTCTCTCTCTCTCTCTCTCTCTCTCTCTCTCTCTCTATCTATCTATCTATCTATCTATCTATCTATCTATCTATCTATCTATCTATCTATCTATCTATCTATCTAACTATCTCTGTCTGTCTCTCTCTCTCTGTCTCTCTCTCTGTCTCTCTCTGTCTCTCTCTCTCTCTCTAACACACACACACACACACTCACACAAATATGACCCTAATGTTCTTTTTAATTATTTCAGAAACATAAAACTTGTTGTTCAGGGTTTAGTAATATGACAAGCATGCATTAAATTATTGCGTTGAACTAAACTATTGCTGAACAAACATAACACAGACATGTGTGACCGTTTTCAAGTCTTAGTAATCTTTCGCTGGTATCAAAGTGATAAATTGTAGCTCTCTAAACAGCCCTCGCCGAGAGGTCACAGCTGCACACATTTTTTTTTTAAAAATCTGACTGAATCTTTGTTCTGACAGGTATGAGGCCACAGAAAACGACGCAAGCAGAAAAACGATAATGAACTAACAATTACTGAAGCAACATATCAACTAGTAACTTTATGTCATTCAAACTCCAGTAACATATGCAACTATGACGTAATTTATGGCGCTATCAACGACTCACCAGACAATGCAGACCCGCAGGAAAAAGTACAGCCTTGTTGATCGTCCAGGGGGCGTGCCATCTCCCTTTGGGATTCACCCAATCAGCGCTTCGCCGTTTGGATGCACACCGGGCCCATTTCTTGGTATTCAGTTTCCCCAACTTTTCAGTGACAGTGCTGACGAGTCACGTGACATAGCCGCGGCAGCGGTGACGTCTGCTGCTGGCGTGGCTAGTGGTTTAATGAGTGACATTGATCTAGTCGTCAGTCGCGATCCTGGGACTTCCAGCACTAACCTCACGACGGAGTCCATAGTTCCCAAAAGGTCAGTTTTTCGTATTTGTTACTTTACTTTTTGTTACTGCATGTGTTGACAGTACTCAGGCTTGTTCTCACATTTTAGATTCGCATTTTAAATTTTCAATTACTTATTAGATCAGGTGCCGTCTCCACAATGAAGGTTGGCTGCAATAGATCTCCAATATACCATGTGTCAGGTTTCAGTTGCGCACACTCTCAGATTGCTGTTATTCCATATCCTGACGGTGTCCTCCCACTGGTAACGTTGTCTACCAATTGCTCTCTTGCCATTGACCTTTCTCGCCAATTCGGTATCTGAGCGTAGTAAGACGTCTGACTGATTTTCTACCCCACCAGGACACCACACAAGCGACAAACACCCGATGACACAAAGTGCCACCATGTGGATGAGGATCACCGTGGAGAGGTCACAGAAACTGCGTTCAGACAATTGGCCACATTTATCTTCTTTTGTCAAAATCTGCTTGTGCCGCTAGGCGTCGCAGTCTATCAGATGATCGGCAACCGAGCCAGGGCGCGCTCAGTCGCTTCATATGCCGTGATGTTATGAAGTCTCAAGTTGTCCGTGACTCCTTCAATCCATCTTCTTCTTGGTCTTCCCCTGCCTCTTGGTGTTTCGATTTTCATGTTGTATGCTCTTGATGCTGGCATCGTTGGTTCCATTCTCATTAGGTGACCAAACCATTTCATTTTTTGCTTCTCAATAAATTTAACACTCTACGGGAAAACAAGAAATACAAGCATTGTGCAGGTATACGCACCCACCAATGATGGTTACACCTTGGAAGAGAAAGTTGGTTCCAATAGTTCTTGTAATCACATCGTTTCTCACTCGATCTCTTCTGGTTTTATTCGCAGCCATTCTCAAACATCTCATTTCACAGGTGGTTAGTCTTCTCTCGTGTTCTTTTGTTAATGTCCAAGTCTGACATTGATAACCTAATGTCGGTATAAAGATTGTATTTATAATTTGTCTTTTTATCTCAGCTGGGACAGCAGGGTGTTTTAAAATTGGGGCAAGCTGGTATGCGACATTGTTGGCTTGTTGGATTCTTGCTTCGATCTCTCTGTCTATTTTACCATTGGATGTAAAAATACTTCCCAAGTATTTAAATTCTTGCACTTGTTTTAGGCTGTGATCTAGAATCTTTATGTCGATGGTCTGTTGCTCTCTACTTATGCTCATGACTTCTGTCTTTTCAGTATTGATCTTCATATGATGCTTGAGGCAACTGTCGTGTAGTAGGTTTATGTGGTCTTGCAGCTGTTTACTATCACTGTGAAATATGCATTGATCGTCGGCAAAGAGCAGCTCATTGAAGTCCTCCTGTTTATCGACATCTGTTGGTGTTATGTCTATTTTATTAATATTGTCCATAAATATTATGAAAAGTAAAGGTGATAATACACAACCTTGTCTTACTCCTGATGTTACTGGGAACCAGTCTGTGATGCCAGCTCTTGTTCTAATGGCGCTTTCACTTTGTCTATAAATAGCCATAACACAATCTAAAATTGTTCCATTTATACCGTAGTTTTCAAGAACTTTCCATAATAAATTTCTGTTTACTCTATCGAAAGCTTTTTCTTGATCTATGAAAGCGATGTTCATTTGATGTCTGTGTTCTATTGTCTTTTCGCTAACTTGTCTTAAAGCAAAAATAGCGTCAGTACACCCTCTTCCTTTCCTAAATCCGACCTGTGATGGGCTCAGGATCGGTTCTACAACGGATCTAATTCGTTGTTCCAGAATTTTGGCAAACATTTTTCCTACGTGGCTTAGAAGGGAGATGCCTCTGTAATTGTTACAATCTTGCTTATTGCCTTTTCTTTTCCAAATTGGGACTATAAGGGCTCTTTGCCAGTCTATTGGTACAGTCCTTTCATTCCAGGCTTTCCTAAATATGTGGAGTAGCCAGGTGACTCCAATTTCTCCACAAGCCTGTATTGCCTCGGCTGATATTCCATCAACACCTGATGGAAAGTTCCACCATGTGGATGAGGATCACCGTGGAGAGGTCACAGAAACCGCGTTCAGACAATTGGCCACATTTATGGCCTGCCTATATTGCGGCCCCCGGCAAAAGCCAGGGTGGGGCTTCAAATAACAAAAAATGTCGTCCTGAAAAGGACGAAAGTAGGATTATGACTCACAGTAAGACGTCTTCCAATGTTGGAAACATTAGTAAGACGTCTTCTAATGTTGCCGAAATATTTCAGTAAATCTATACTATAAATTACAAACTCCTTCTGTATTTCGTGTGTTTATTATAAATGAAGTGTTAATTCCTCGAGAACCGAGATCAGTGAATGGGTTAATTTTTCATTTCCTATTTTGTTTACAGTGATTAATTTAACAGTCACATGGCGGCCCAGGTTATGGTGCATTTCTTAATTTATTGCAGTCAGTAAAGTAAATTTTCGCTGGAGCTATATCCCTTTGAATATTTTTTCCTGTTACTTTCCACGAAACGTAGTTCTAAAAATAAATTATATTTCACTGTTATTTTCCTTGAAGCCACATATCTATGTGTCTGCCTTGAAACATTTGTCTGTCTTCCACAATTTTAAATTATGGTGTTAGTATTACATGGAATGCCTCAGGTGAACTTAGGGGCGATGACAATAGGAACGGCGGCGAAGGAGACGAAGATGCCGTAGAAGACGGGATATATTAGGTTTTAGTTAGACCCCTGTTGCCACTATGCCTACAAATAAAGTAGCAATAGAGACAAAGATGGAACAAAGGACGGGAGAACAATACTTTCTGTCACTTTCCTGAGAGAAGCTGGGCACAGAAATCTAGTGAATATATAAATTATGAATATTGTTATTCGAATCTGCTTTCCTCATGTGAATTACCAACGGACCGACCGACGGACCGACCGACCGCCCGACCGACCGCCCGACCGACCGACAGGACAGACAGACAGGACAGACAGACAGGACAGACAGACAGACAGACAGACAGACAGACAGACAGACAGACAGACAGACAGACAGACAGACAGACAGACAGACAGACAGACAGACAGACAGACAGACAGACAGACAGACAGACAGACAGACAGACAGACAGACAGACAGACAGACAGACAGACAGACAGACAGACAGACAGACAGAAAGACAGAAAGACAGATAGATAGACAGACAGACAGACAGACAGACAGATAGACAGATAGACAGATAGACAGATAGACAGATAGACAGATAGATAGATAGATAGATAGATAGATAGATAGATAGATAGATAGATAGATAGATAGATAGATAGATAGATAGATAGATAGATAGATAGATAGATAGATAGATAGATAGATAGATAGATAGATAGATAGATAGATAGATAGATAGATAGATAGATAGATAGATAGATAGATAGATAGATAGATAGATAGATAGATAGATAGATAGATAGATAGATAGATAGATAGATAGATAGATAGATAGATAGATAGATAGATAGATAGATAGATAGATAGATAGATAGATAGATAGATAGATAGATAATGTAAAACAGAAAAAAAAATAAAGACAGTTTAAATTAGATATATGTAGACTTCTAGACAGACAATCCTTTAGAAAAAAGAATAATAGTAGCAACAGAAGGTTTAATTTTAAAAGTTAAACCCGTGGCCATTTATTGTTTAGTTGCACTGTATCGCAAGTAAGAGACCTTTCCTATAATTAACAATTACTGGCCCCTAAAGAATGGATTCATTGTGTGTCAGGAGACATAATCCCATCTACCGGTCCACTGAATAGCCGATCACCCCTTCCTGTGTAGAATACAATATCACATGATGAGAAATGGCAATACCCCACTCTTTTCTCCCCCACGCACAGGCTTATTTGACGAGTCATTACAGAGTATACATAAGACCCGCTCAACTACTCGGCTGCGTTGAATCTCGCGGTGACAAGTTAAAAATGTGGTCGAGGGAAAAAAAAGGTTGAGCATTGTTCTGTTAGAGGGTAACGACATCTGATAAACGACAGTGCGATGCGTTGATATCTTATCCATTTATCAAATTTTGTGACATATTGTAATCTTTTGTTTACCGTTTTGATTTCTTGGATACCTAAAAATGGAGAATGTTCAAATAGAAATTCCGTCAGCATTGACGTAAGTAAAGTTTGAATATCTCTTTTTCTATGTCTGCGATTAAGTGTATTATCTTATTCTTCTTTGCGTTCACCAGCTGTAAACTCTTGCGGAAGGTTTTAGCTGCTCGTCCACTGCTGAACTGCAGTCCTGCTCCAGAATCTGAGTGTTGCGTGTACATCGGTTTTACAGATCTCATTCTCTTGAATACAGACGGTTGGTTCCTTGCCTCTCCGGCAGATGCACTCCGACTTCAGAGGAAGCTCCCTAATTAGTCGACTCTTACGACATGCTTTTGGGGAGGCAGTAGTCCATACCGATGGCGATTGTGACTAGCAAGACCCGACCACTTTATGAAGTCTTCCACAATTATAGCATGAGAATTTAGGACCCTTGTCTCCATCATTTGTATTTAGTGTGTTTTTCTCATACTTTCTACCTTCATTATCATACTTTCTACCTTCATTCTCATACTTTCTACCTTCATTCCCATACTTCCTACCATCATTCTCATACTTTCTACCTTCATTCTCATACTTTCTACCTTTATTCTCATACTTCCTACCATCATACTCATACTTTCTACCTTCATTCTCATACTTTCTACCTTCATTCTCATACTTTCTACCTTCATTCTCATACTTTCTACCTTTATTATCATACTTTCTACCTTTATTATCATACTTCCTACCTTCATTCTCATACTTCCTAACTTTATTTTCATACTTTCTACCTTCATTCTCATACTTTCTACCTTCATTTTCATACTTTCTACCTTCATTCTCATCCTTTCTGAAATACTTCCTACCATCATTCTCATACTTTCTACCTTTATTATCATACTTCCTACCTTCATTCTCATACTTCCTACTTTTTTTTTTCATACTTTCTACCTTCATTCTCATACTTTCTACCTTAATTTTCATACTTTCTACCTTCATTATCATACTTTCTACCTTCATTCTCATACTTTCTACCTTTATTCTCATACTTTCTATCTTTATTATTATACTTTCTACCTTTATTATCATACTTCCTACCTTTATTATCATACTTCCTACCTTCATTTTTATACTTTCTACCTTTATTCTCATACTTTCTACCTTCATTCTCATACTTTCTACCTTTATTATCCTACTTTCTACCTTCATTCTCATACTTTTTACCTTCATTCTCATACTTTCTACCTTCATTCTCATACTTTCTACCTTTATTCTCATACTTTCTACCTTTATTCTCATACTTTCTACCTTCATTCTCATACCTTTTTTTTCATTATCATACTTTCTACCTTTATTCTCATACTTTCTACCTTCATTCTCATACTTGCTATCTTCATTCTCATTCCATTCCGGATTTGCCGCCTCCACGCAACACGGTCCATAGTATTTTGTTTCCACGAATTCGCCTCAGTACCAGTGTGTGTGAATGTTAGGGCTGCACAGAATATTCGCTTCATATTCGCTTCGGGGCCGAATAGTGGACCTATTGACTATTCGGTATTTGGCCGAATAGTTGCGGTCGGGCCGAAAACGAATAGTAGTTACCTTACACCCGCTTTTGCATACACGGTCTTAATGTTGACAACATGGAACGATTGGTTTTGTTGAAAGCTAATGCAGCTTTCCTGCATTAACTAAGCTGTCAGTGACAATTTCCAAGTTTAGTTACTTGTTATAATACTTGGGATTCTTTCATTCCTAGTTATTAGTTACCACAGACTGACTGAAGGATGCAAAACATAAAATGTTTTTAAATGTTTGCTATTCTGTACGAATACTAACTAGACATTGACAGAATATAAACTCCGGCCATATCCAAGTCGATAATATGAAAATCAAACGAACAGAAACATATAAGTACTTGGGTATAAATTTTAACATGCTGAGAGAAAAAATACAATCTAGAATACAATCTAGAAAAAAGGTATACTATGCCCTTCAACATCTGGTAATGTCAAAGTGTCTGTCTCCCAACACCAAGATCAAAATATATAAAACGTTGATAAGACCAGTCGTGTTATATGGCTCTGAAACTAGAAGCAGAAATAAAAAAGATGAGGCCTCATTACAGGTTTTCGAAAACAGTCTTACGACAAATCTTTGGACCCATTAAAAATGCTAACAGCGGGGAATGGAGAGTAAGAAGCAACAACATAACACATAATCTGTTTAAATCATCATTGATCACTGGCATCATGAGAGTTAACAACTTAAATGGTTGGGGCATTTTGAAAGAATGTCAGATGACAGAGAAGTAAAAACTGTATACACATGAGAGAGGAAAGGGCGTAGACCACGATGCAGACACACACCAACAAAAGTTCGAGAGATAATATCCAGCCAGACCTGCAAACAACTGGTGTCAAAAATTGTGAAGAGAAGTCCAGCCAGAGAGATGAATGGAGACGAGTGATATCTGCAGCAGTAAACCTCAAGGGCTCAGAATGCTAAGGAAGAAGATGACTATTCTGTGCTACTTTCTGTGAAGTAAAAGTTCAGCGTACATTTGAAATTATGAATGTGTGTGTGTGTGTGTGTGTGTGTGTGTGTGTGTGTGTGTGTGTGTGTTTAGATATATTTTATACACTATACACTATTCGTATTCGTATTCGGGCGAATAGTTGGTCCCGCTATTCGTATTCGGCCGAATAGTGAAAATCCCTATTCGGTACAGCCCTAGTGAATATATCTTTTGATATATGTTGTAAGCAACTCCACCTAGGTCATGCTTGCAATATGTTAGCTGCTGACCGTTAAGGTTATTTATGCATGATATGAGGAGAGGCTACACTTCCGCCTTCCTGTACCAAAGAACTCACAGTACGTTTGTGGGTTGGTACAAAGACAGCACACCTCTCAAACCCTCTTTTACCGTGGACAGTTTCTATATTTTAACTCATTCAATCAGAGTTACTGGTACCATCAGAATTTTAACTCTTAGCTTGCTGCTAAAGATGGGGACGAAGCGCTTTTGGAGGTGTCCCGAGTTCTGCGATGTCGATTCTTAATTCAACATTCAATCAAAGTAATTAGTTGACTTTCTCAGCTTGAACAATTGTATCGTTAACCCGGTCATACCCAGTAATATAAAAAATTAAAATTCATCGGATTAGAAACCAATAACGTAATGACAAGCTGGGCTTGAAAAGGTTAAACACACAATAACATCTGGCAGTCTTGATGAGAAAAGAGCAACAGAAAGAAAGAAAACAAAAACAGACAAATATCGGATTGGCTGTCGCATGATGTATTCAAGACAAGAACACAGACTTGATCAGAGATAAGTAGATCTTGAACAGGGTGAACCATGATCGTCAACATAACACATGATCATGACGATTTACCGATCATCAGGGATGCTGGGACCTTGAGTTTGGGCACCTTGATCGTTTCCCCCCACCCCCCTAACGTCCTTCCAAATTAGTACGATGACCAAGCTTCTCCTACAGCCAACCATGTATAGAACTTATCTTTTTAAATTTTGTGAATACATTTATTATTTCAAATATATTAGCATGTCTATTTACCATTCAATACTTTATTATTATTATTATTTTTTATTAAGCACTCATATAGGGTTTAGGCCATTTTACCCAGCCCCCCCCCCCCCTTTTTTTCTCTACCCACTGTTTTCTTTGTAGTGGCGCCCCTTCCCGCCCTCTATGTCAACTTTATTACCCTAAGTCGAGACTTGATCTAGAGTAAATCTAGACAAGTGTGTATGGACTTTTCACTTTACGGCAACGGACAAGTACAACTTATTACGACTGGTAGGTACATCGATAGCTACTGACTTATTGTCAGACATGTCGAGCCGTGTCACTCCATTAGCGACAGATATCCGGTGACATTGCCAGGCCGCTCCTGCTTGCACAAATAATGTTCGTCTTTCCGCTAATTAAATAAAATGGCTGTTATTACTTTGAGCCTTCATTTCATGAATTTGTCATAATCATGGTAAGGAAGAAAGTGATGAGGTGGGGAGGGGAGGGGGGGGGCGACGCAAAGTAAATTTGAAGTGGGGGAAACGGAGAAGGGAGGGGGGGAGGGAGGTGGTTAAGGGTTGTCATCCTCCTTACAACTTTCTAAAGGCGGAGCTGGACTCAAACCTTGTTTGAGCAAGCAGTAATATGATTAATAATATTGAAGGTGCTCGAGCTTCCAGGTCGCAGCGTCCCTGGTCATCATGTATGTGTGTGTGTGTGTGCATTTGCGCGTGTGTGTGTGCGTCTATTTCTTATGGAAGCTAGAAAGAAAGTAAAGAACCTTTTCATGCTATTGATCCATGGGGCATGCAGTGTTAAACACAAAGGTGATTAACTGTCAGTATTTGGATGATACAATTTCCGGAAAACGAGGTAGACCTCCGCGAATGTGGATACAAGACATTGAATATGCATTGATTATAAAACCACGTAGAGCTGGGAATTTGCATACACCAGTGCTTCCCAAACTGTATTGCCCACCCCCAATCCCTTTTCAGAACCCCCTTCCCCCCCCCCCCCCGCCACCCACCCCCACCCCATCCCCCGTACCTGAAAATATCACCGAAAAGCATACTCGGTCTTCGTTCGCTATCCGACTCAAGTCTCTTTCTTGCCTTAAAGGAAGCTGCGTGGTCTTGGGGCATGGTGTCCGCCTCGAATGCTAGAGATTTAGGGATCAATCCCCGGTAAGAACTGGGATTTTTTCACGTGGACAGACTTCCAGTAATTCCCTCTGGTCTCTAGGTAGTGAGGTCGGACGCCCGTGTGCATTGTTGTGCTCGTAAAAAAATCCCTTGGCATCTGAAAATCGAAAAGAGAAGCCTAACGGTGCTGCCCCGGGCAAACTTTGAAGCTAAAAATCGACAGAAAGTGTTTCAGGATCCTCGCCGGTGCTACAGAGCCTGTGCAATGTACTGAGACCCGTGTGCCATAATGATGAACCGTTGTTTAAATCAAACTTCTTGCCTCGAAATATTTATTCTGTAATCAAAGAAAAAGAATGATATAATAGGAGTTTTATTTTGTATCGTCTCCCCCCCCCCCCCTTTTTTCCCCCTCGAGTTACAACATGATTGGTTGGTCTGTAATCTTGGTAGTCTTCTCTCTAGTTCAACTTAATAGACTGTTTAAAGTGTGTCTTTGGCCTTTTTAAATTCGGAGTCAGAAGGGGCTATATAAGGTTTCCTGAAGCCATCGTAGCTCTGCCTTTTCATGTCTATGGATCTTTAGCAGACTTAATTTTACTGCTCACCTTGTTAAGTTCTTGTTGACTTCATTTTGATGATGTCGTGTTCAGAGCCCCAGATGGCTTGGAGGACTGATTGTATGTATGTGAATATGACGGGTTTTTTTTTTTTGTTGTTTTTTTTTTTTTTTTTTTTTTTAAACTGAAGTATTTGGAGACTGTTCAGTTCAAATGGGCATTCCTGCCTCTGAAGTTGGTGCAAGTTTTCCATGCCGATACTGAGTGTGCCTCACTACCCCTTTACCACCCGCTTGAATACTAACTTCCAGTTATGAAAGCTCGTCCTTCTTCTTCTGTTCACCCTTCCGGCTGCTACTTGGTTTGACACCATGAGATTACAAAATCTTAATCTGGACGGCAGATCAACAGGAAAATCTCAGATATCTACCCCTCTTAGGTGAACCTGCAAACAAGTTATAACTGGGGTATCCGTAACAGATAAACCAGCCTGGTGTAACCTGCTGTCCTGTGTCGTTCGTGAATATTTTATGAATACTCGCAACGACCACACATACTTCGCCCTTTAAGGGTTAAGAGCCAGATATGCTCCAAAAATTATCTCAAAATTATAATAGACCCTTGCCATTCGTGATCATTAAAATGGAGTTAAGGATTCTTAAATTTCTTCCTGCAAAATGTTGACAATTTGCTTTGTCACGAAACGTCTATTTTTACATACCCCATGGGGAAAAAATGAATGATCGGTAATTGATATTATGCATTGATTTCTAAAATCGATACCTGGCTTAATAGAATTATATCTACGATCGATTCTAACTCACTGCGTATATTGTCTCCACAGTTCAGTGATTGCTATGTATCAGGACACACAGTCGTCCGGGGATAAATTAGAGGTTTGTTTAATGCTTCATTGTGTTCTAAAATAGAACATGTTGAATGATCTTGTATTTGCATTTTAGAAGCATGGTTATTTTATGTTCTGTGTATGAACTTTCGTCGTTAGTAAACAGTCAGTACACACCCACTTACACACACACACCCACTTACACACACACACACACATATACAGACAGACAGACAGACAGACAGACAGACAGACAGACAGACAGACAGACAGACAGACAGACAGACAGACAGACAGACAGACAGACAGACAGACAGACAGACAGACAGACAGACAGACAGACAGACAGACAGACAGACAGACAGACAGACAATTCTAACGTATGCTAGCGAAAGTTGGAGAGCTACCAAAGATTTGGAACGAAAGTCAAAGTGCATTTGAAAATTAATGTTTGAGAAAAATCATGAATATAAAATTGGATGAATTCTAAAGGAGTTCGGAGATCAGAGACATGTCTCGACAAATACCTGTATTGACTGCAATAAGACAAAGAAGGCAAAGATCTATTGAGACGAAATGAGCAAAAAAAATTACAAAACAAGCTCTGAAAGGGAAACAAACGGTCTGTAATGTCTAACGGCACACGACGGATGATGATTGTGAAACAATTAGTGGAGTTCTTATTTCCACGATTTAGGGGTGTTTTGTGTGTGTGTGTGGGTATATGGGGCTAACCCTATTTATTTTTTCAAACAGATCTATATTTAACTCGGGGAGGGGGTGGTGGTGGTGGGGGGGGGGGGGCAGTCAGTATGTAAAAGTCTTTTTTAAACGCCAATGATGCATCGGGTAAAGTAGGCTAGGCTCTTATTTTACAGACCAATCATCTCGATAGGTGATGAAGTCACGTGGTGTGTCCAGTGCCTCATTGGCTATGTTTACTTTCTAGAATATTTTTGACCACATACTTTCAGCTGGATGGACCTAGTAGTTATATACGTTCTCGTATATTTAGGTCAGTGGTGGTGTAGTATGACCCAGGCTGATACATGTAAGTAACTGGGTACCTGATAACAGCAGATGGAATTTTAATGTAGAACGCAAAGGCAGCATTTTATAAAACGAAGCATATTCCATGGAATCTTACTTTTTCAGTTAAGGCGAGAAAGAAAATTCTCAATAACCATGTCAATCTTATCCTGGTGTATGAAATTGAATCATGGGCAGTTGGGTGATTAGTGAAACTTTATTTATAGGCGGCCAAAATGTGGTTTTATAGATAAATTATGAGAATATCTTGCACAGATTTAAAAAAAAATTTAATTTTTGTTTTTTAAAAGAAACTGACCTACGAAGAAAACTGATTACCCACATCAGGAGAAAACAGTCTACATTCTTTGAGCATGTGATAAGAAGGAGAAAATCGGAAAACATCGTGACCGTGGAGAAGGTTGGAGAGGAAAATAGACAGAAAGCCACCGAGAGAGAGAGGATGCTAGACGGTTTGACATGGCATGGAAGAACTGCTAGAAAGCACACAAGACAACAAGTTGTGGATAGACTTGACTACCAACGCCTCTCCGCATAGACATCAGGAAAACCTGTGACCACGGAACTGCCAGTTAAGACTTGAAGCGACTGCACTAAAACTGCTCCTTTGCTTTCTACTTGGGGTAAAGTGTGTAAACGACCAAAAAAAAAAAAAATGTCAAAATGTAAAGTCGCATACGACAACTATTTTGAAACGTAGTTATAATCTTATTTCATTCTGATGTTATTTCTACTTTAATATATACCATTCATAGTTGCAGAACCACCAACGATATGGAGTGAAAGTAAATGTATTAGAAAACAACTGCATTAAGAGAAGTACAAACATATGAAATGAATTCAAGAGGGGTGAGGAAATAAGAGAAATGTCTGGGCAACCACTTGTTTTAAGACAGAGATGAAGCTACATTAGGCACATCCTGAGAAGAAGCGAGCAGAGAATCACGAAAGATTAAATGCTATGGGAAACAGATGGACTGAAAAAACGAGGACGTCCAGGAAAAACCCTAAAACACACTGATGAAATGAGCCAAGGGTGTTGGAATGGATTCCATCCCTAACATGGAAGTGATTGTATATGATAGAACGGAACTGAGGAATAAATTGTGAGCCTTGTAAGATAAAAAATGATACAAAAAGACAATGTGTGAATGGATGCCAGCTGACTGAATTGTGCTGTCGTAGATATCAAAATTGGTCAACAGTGAACACATGTTGCGTCAGATTCTTTCTTGAGTCCATGTCTGTTAAACTACTGTATACTATTCTCTCCGTCATTACTTGTTCATATGTTGTTGTTGTTGTTGTTGTGTGTGTGCGTGCGTGCATGTGTACATATATGTGTGTATGTATATAAATAATATATAAATATATGTACATAAGTGTATGTGTACATAAAGTGTGAATGTATATATATAATGTGTATATATATATATATATATATATATATATATATATATATATATATATCTACATACGTGTGTGTGTATGTTTATATACATATATATATATATATATATATATATAGAGAGAGAGAGAGAGAGAGAGAGAGAGAGAGAGAGAGAGAAGGGAGGGAGAGATAAAGAGAGACAATACTGAATACCGTAAATAAAAGTCATCCTGTTTTATTTGTATTTCTATACAGATGAGATTACTAGTTCTGGAGGAGACTGAACGAAGTCAACTCATGCACAAACTGGTTACTGCCTTTCAACAGAACGTCCTGCTGTGTTTTGATCACTACAAACCTGAACTGACTCTGTACTGTCTTAGGATTGTAACCTCTCTCTCGGCGCGCAAACCTCGACTGAGGTCTCGTAATCTGACAGTAACTGGTGAACCGGAAACAAATATCCACCAAGTTACAGATCCTTTCGCTGAGCTAGACGTTGAGGAGGCGTTGTCGCGAGAACTTCCTAATTTTACAGTATCAAAACTCAGGGAAACAGTGCAGCAACTGCTACGACGAGCTACTTTACGGCAAGATGGGACCCTATATTTCGCTGGAAGCCCCGAAGAAAGTATGGCCACGAAAAGTGTGCAATATTTCATCTGGTTTTTTGACTTTATGGACTTCCTGCATGAGTTGTTCGTTAATTTTGTTGAGAAGATCTTCAATCCGCTGTTCAAATATTTTCAGGACTACAACTTTTTAAGTTCCGACGGTCGAACTAACTCAGTATCCTCTGCTTTTTCGAAACTGAGTCAGTTTTCTGAAAGTGACAACCAAGGGTCATTGGATGGAGATCATGAAGGCAGCGAAAGCGAAAGTTTGGCAGAGAGCAGGAGAATGCACGCACAAGCAAAGGCGTCACTGTTGCAGCTATGCAAGGAGTACAAGGACATTAAATCTATATATGACACAACCGCCATTGACAGGGTTGCTCAAAGGTTATCGTTTGTCAAAGAACAACTAGAGTACTTACTGGATGAGGAAGACGAAGTGGATCCAGATTTATACAGCGCTGAGAGCGGGAAGTTGATTGAGCATATGAACATGGACTTCGGAACAGAAAACCTCATACGTTTGGTACCGGATATCCTGGTGAAGTTGAAGAAAGCAGCCTGGCTGGCAAGAAGATGGCTGGAACTTGATGATCAGAGAACTAAAGATGTCAGTGCCAAGCTAGATAAACTGGCAATCGTGGAGAAACAGCTTGTGAAGCGCCTCGATGTTCTTCACGACGACATCACGAAAGGCGAGAAGAAACTGGAAAGAGAAACAAATGAACTCAATCGCTTGATGGAGAAGGAAGGAAGACCGGATGTGCTAACTTTACAAAGCTACAACATTGACAGGGAAATAAAAAGTATAACAATAAAACTTGAACAACTGAACAAGGAGAAAGAAACATTTGCTGAAAGACTTTCTGAAATTGTGAAAGCCAAAAACCTGAGCGAATTCCATAAACTAAAATTCAAATTTGAATCTAACAAATTACAACGGTTTACAATGGAAAGAAAACTAGCTACGCTGGCATTCAAGAAAAACTTACTAGATGATGACCTCAACATAGAGCTGTTTGTAAGACCAAGTGTGATCCACAGTAGCAATAAACTACAGGACGAATGTGAGCGGCTAGAGAAATACATTCGCCAACAGAAGGAGGAACTGGTCAGCATTAAAAGAGCGTTACTGCCAGTACAAGAAGACAAAGCCTCATTGATGAACAGACTGAGCAGGCAGCGTGAGTGCCAACCATCCTGGCATCATCCTGTTGGGAGCAGTGCCCAAAACTTCATACTTAATCCAGGGCATGCTGCATATATCAGAAGTTTGCCTAGGAAGCCGAACCAGCAACAGGCGCAACATACCTCTTTACCAGCTATTCAACAGGTCTCTCATGTGACAGTTAGAAATCAGCGAAATATAAGCCCTCCTTCATGGTAGTTACGGAAAATGGCATGAAGGGGAGACGAATAAAAATATTTTTTAAAAAATGGTTGAAACATTCTCCGTGAAAACTGGTACTCGTCAGAAAAAAAAATTTGAACAGTAAATTCTCACGTTAGGTCACGATATCGTTGAGGAATTATGTTATTATAATTTGTTTAATTTAAAAGTGCCGGTAAGGGGGAGGGCTGGAAAAATGAAGAGGAAAGTAAACTTATCCTAATCTTTAGTTATTGGTACGTTTGGTACATGACAAGAGACGTGTCATGCGCATGTACCCAATCAGGTGGAGATTGTAACTAAATTTTCTGCTTTCCTGACAATACGGTCAATGTTAAGCAAAGCCCACTGTTTATAACTATGTCTCTTATGTGCATATATAAGGCAGCTGTAAACAAAACCCCAAAAATTCCAAGAAATAAAGCAGCAACAACGCTTTGTTCATAGGGAGCAATACGCTAAAAAAAACGTAATGAATATTCGAATTTATTAACCGAACAAATGAAGAACAATCTGACGTCCCAGTCTCTTATCAGCAAAAGAAGAGAACAGTCAAATCAATCAAAAAGCCACCAAGACGATTACCATTTTATGGACAGACCTGTGCAAGTTATTATTCAACACCTTAGAACAGGACTCATTCGACTTCGCAGCCACATTTACACAACATTTGAAATCAGCAATGTGCACATGTGGATTGGCACCTGAGACAACAGATCATGTTCTCCGAGAGTGTCCCAAATACAACATATCAAGGCAAAACTTGTGGCCAAGAGAAAAATCGGTACAAGTCAAACTTTACAGGTCGCTGAGTGAATTACAAAAGACAGCGAAGTTCATATTAGAGACAACTGCAGATATAGATAATTTATTTCAAGCGAACGAAAGAAGAAGAATTAACCGAGCAATATATGTCCTGGTTTTGATAAAGAATACTCGTCGCAGCACATGGCTTTAGCATAGTGGTCAACACAGCATACAAACCCTTTAGCACCTCTGTGTATCCAAATTTGTGCATTACAGAAAAATAGCAAATGCTATTATAATATTTACAGGGAATGTGCTTTTGTCTTCCAAATCTCTGATTTTGTCAATGCATATTTGACCCGATCTTCCCAATTTCCTGCCGTTGAGAGACATTTAACATTTACTACCCTCGGGATTTCGTCTATGTACTAAAACCTAGTGTCCAGTGTATCATCTCTTGATCAGGGAGGAGTTTCCACATTAGTTTTCTGCTGTAGAAGTAAGGTAAACAAGTAAGAGAATTGAAGAGTGTATCCTCACCTTAACAGGGGCGCCGACAAACAAAAGACATTGGGGGAGGAGGGAGACTCAACCCCCCCCCCCCCCACCCCCCTTATACATATCCTAACAGTTTGGGACGTTCACGGGTCTAAGTCTTGTTAAAGTGCATAATAATATAATGAATAATTGAAATGATAACTTCTGTGCATGATCTGAGCTTTGGGGTGGGGTTACTAATTGTTCACGGGCGGTAAAGGCGGCCAACCTGATATTGACCACATCACCCACCGAGTGCCATTAGTCTATAAATATTGGTTAGCTCTATATATCCAATATTATCTCGTCATCCCCTTGTGGGGTGCAGTTTTTAGCTATTTTGAAGCCCCAACCTGGCTTTGGCCGGGGGCCCTAAATATAGCCAGGCATGAAATTTCTCCAAACGGCTGAACGGGGTTTGCGGGACCTCTCCACGGGTGATCCTCGTCCGCGTGGTGGCACTTTGTTTCACCGGGTGTTTGTAGCTCGTGGGCTACAACTTACACACATACGCCCAATAACCTAGGCCTGAAGGTGTGGAAACGTGTCCTTTACTTTTAAGAAGTTTAGGAAGCTTTTGTGGTGAACACTACACGGCAGCAGTTTTCGTCACCTAACCAACTACATTTTTTGGCAACTTTCCTGTGTGATTGCTAGTTAAATCTACGTCCAGCCCGACATACTATAATTGTAGCGGACTCCTAAAACCTAGTTAAGAAAATAGAAACGGTGACCCAGCACGTCCGAGTTGCTTACATCGCTTGATAAGACTCAAATCGACAGCAAAATAAGGATTTTCTGTCCAGGACATTTGAGTGTGCAGGGAAATGGGCAGGTCGTTACACTGGCTGCTGCCGGTCCTATAGGAGGTGAGCTACTTTACGATAAAGCGGACACGGTGAAGGCTCCCTTGTATAAGGTAGACAGTGCCAGAGTGCAGAATATCCATACCTTGAAAGACTGATTAATTCTTCTTCTGCGGTCATCGGAAGATGTAAACGCACTGTGCCCGTTTACAACATGGCTGCGATATTTGTGTCTTTTGCCCAAAACATCCGACTTCTGCAGGTATTTTTTTTTTTTTTTTTTTTGCACAGGCAGCCTTCCTAGGAAGAGGTATAGTAGAGGTTCTAGAGGATCTTCGTGGCTGAGGGGAAAACAGGTAGATTTTTTTTATCAGGTTGCAAATGGCTATATTAGCCTGTTAACTCTCCTTTGGCTATCTAATAAGGAGATGGAGCAGATGTGGAAATGTCCCCAAGTGCAATGATGTCAGCTCTTGTTTGAATCACGCATTAGCGATGTGTCGACATTTCTTCTTTTTTTTCATTTCACCTCATAGTGGATCATCATTATCATCCTGTAACACTACGTGTCGTTGAGTCACCAGTTTCTGTTGACTGTCTGATCAGCTCTCTCCACCTTTGGCGGTCAGTTGCGATGGACTTCATGGCTGCATGCCTGAGGCCTGTCCAGTCAGTCAGATTCTGTAACGAGGTCTTTCTTGGTCAGCCTCTTCTCCTCTTTACCTCTACTGAGCCCTGCAGTATTGTTTTTGAGAGGCCATTAGATCTTATTATATGCCCATACTATTGCATTTTTGGACTTTTCACTTTAGTTAAAAGAGGTTCATAGTAGCCAATGTGCTGTATAATTATATGGCGAACTGCCTTTGTAATGTGGTCTCTGTAGATCAGTGGATCAAGGGCCTCTAACCTACTCACACCAAGACTCATAGCTAGTAAAGCATCAATGCATGCAGGAAGTAGCATGGGCAGAGCTGCTACCATCAGTGCAGTATGGATCAGGCTGGTGGATAACAATGAATCTCTGATGCTAACATGATTGTGTGAACGGGGAGTAAAGTTTGGTGAAGCATGTATATGCTGTTTTTGAGGCCTAGGCAGAAAACACTATTATCAACCTCTCATGAGAACAATCAGTTGAGGAACCTTGGAGTGGCTGCTGCTTCAGAGTACTGCACACATAAAAGAATGCCCAGTATGCAATAACGTCAGTTGTGATAATATAGCAAGCCTTGTGGTTAGATTTTGCAGCCATTATCAGGTCAACCTTCCTTAGTTGCTGCTTACACTATGGCCACGCAGGCCCCATTTTCATTCTCTATGGCTGGTCCTGTAAGATTTGCTTCAGTCTCAACAGCAAAATAAGATAACATTTTATATCCTGGCTAAGCCTACCCTTTCTGATCAAGACACATTTTGCAGGATCTATTGGAAGGGTTGGCACTGTGGCTAAGTCGATGCGAATGCTTCGTAATGCCGCATTCGATCCCAGCTGCGGGCTATGCGCTGGTTTCGACAGTGGTATCAAGAAAGCCGACCATCCAGAAAGCAATGGCAAACTACAGGACGTAATTTGCCCAGAAAAACCACACAACAGCCAGGATGTTGAGGTTGGTTCTGCAAAGTCCTGTAAAGAATACGCAACTAACCTATAGGAAGGGCTGATGCTTCTGTTATAAAGTTGGAAAAATATTCATTTGCAGCAATAAATCTGCTTGTTGCAATTTCCATGTGAACTGTTAACGCCTGTCCATCTCTGTAGTTTTTACAGGGACACACATCCAAATCTGTGAACGGTTCTGCTGTTATAAGAAGTGTAAGTCTTTGTTCTGACAATTTATTCCTGGAATCTCTAGGACAAAATCACAGAGCCACTGCCAACACACACAACCCTGGAATACCCCAGTATAGTTTGCATGTTGTCGCCCATATTATTTCCTGAAATGACTCTATGGTAATAATAAACTGCTACCACATCCACAACTACTTGTTAAACAAATTTGTGCTCTGTATAACTATAAACAATTACCTCACTGTCTGTCTATACAGTATTGCATGATAATGCAACTACAGTATTTACAATATCCTACAATACAAAAGTTAAATACATTTTTTTTAATTTGGGGAAAAGTCAACAACTATTTGAATGACTGATTTTGGCTTTGTTATTTATTATAGTTTTATATTATAGTGAATAAGAGGAAGCAATACCGCCTCACTAAAACACACACATTTTGTATAATGTGGTTGTTGCAACATCAAGGTTTATAATACTTTTTTTTTAAAGATTAAAATATCACATCCTGTGTTGTGCCCAGGAAGTCATTCTTTCAAACATGAATCTAGCTTTAGAAAACATATGATGGAAGAGATATAAGACTGATGAGTGGCACAGGTGTTTCTTTTAAATGTAGAGCTGATATCTGCAATCACTAACATAGTGGACAACCATCAGTACATCAACCTCTTAAGGCAGTGATTCCCAAACTGTGCGCCACGGCGCCCTGGGGAGCCGCAGCCTCTTCACTTCTATTTAGGTTAGGGTGCCAAGGAAACATTTTTATTGAATAAAGGCGCCACGACCTAGAAAGGTTTGTGAAACCCTGTATTTAAGGGAAAGCAGTACACACAATGCACAGTTTGAATAGTCTCTGTAATCCTTTATATTCTCCCAACAGGAACTACTCTTGTCACCTTGCCTCTAATTATAAGCAGCAATTCAGGAGTTCTGTGAAGGTTATCACCATGGCAAGAATGAAGCTAAGAGAAGTTCCAAATGAATTTTCCCAAGGATGTTTCCAACAAAAGTATGAAAGTTGATACAAGTATATTTCTGCAAAAGACCCCATCTTTTAATGAAATGTAATGTAAATTAGTGTTCTTCAACATCAGCGTTCCTTTTAAATC